AAGCCAATAAAGACCAAGAAGTAATGAACAAACACTGTGAGTGGAATAGCTCCAGATGCTCAGAGAGATGACAATGATCTCACTCTAATGAGCCGAGGTGAGCTCACCTACAGCATTAATGAACGCCTGACAACTGGCAAAGGCCAGCTGATTTCCCTCACAGTTCACCGGCAGCATGTTTGAAGTCTCTGTGCAAACAATACACCCACAGGACAGTCCAAGGCCCTCTACAGAGGGTAACCGGCAATTACTCTGTGGGCTTCTGTCACTTTGATCTCTGGGTCGTGACCTTTGCTTTCTTGTGATCTTCAAAGCCCAGATTGTAGATTAGCTGGAGAATGCTAACTGGGTTGTGTAAGCCACAAGTTTTACAGCTCCCTACTCGGTGGGAAATGGTGGCAGCCCAGGACTGCCTACAGATGGTACAGACTCCCTCCCTCCCTCCCTTGGGCTGAGTGCTACAGACACTGGGCAGGCCCCAGGGGCTGTTCCCTACTGGGGAACAAAGAAAGGGTGTCACATTCTAAATAATTTAAAGTTGTAAGGAATACAGAGGGATGTGCTGGGGAGGGGGGAGGAAGGAGAGGCCCGACCTGTGATGGGCAGTAGCAGGAGAGAATTCATGACAAAGGTTCAGTGAACAGAAGGGAGCTGGGAGCCACGAGCCTAACCCCCTTGTTTGAAATGTGAAGTCCAACACTTGTGGACTATTGACCACTATTGGCCATTGTTCTTTCTGCAGAAAAGAAAGGAGGAAGAAGAGGGCTGAAAGAGAAGATAAGCAACAGCACCCAAGCTTCCCATACTTGATTCCCTTACTGTGTCTGGTGTTGGGCGTCCACAGAGGCCCCATGTGGTTTCTTAGCACCTTGGTGGTCCAGGCCTAGATGACTTGCCTCATGGCTCTCTTCCTGCCCCAATCTCGAAGGCCGCTGTGACCACCTTCACTTCTATTCAATATTGATCCCCAAACAACAGCACTGTGTCCACACAGCAAAGCACTTGGCAGGCTTAAGCTCTATAGCAACGCGGCAATGGACATTTCTCAGCCATGAACTATGATGAATGGCAAAGGGAACCCCCAGGCACGGTTTCGCTCCTGCCCCCAGCAGGGCCAGGGCTCTACTCAACAACTCGGCAGTATGTTCATGCTCACATAGAAATTTAATGAGCCTGTTTTACTGTGGGGATGTGTGCCAAGAAAATCCAACTGGGTGCACAGGGGGTAAGTGAGGAAGCCAGAAGGGTGGGCTAGGGGGAGGGGAGGAAAGACTTGACAGAAACCCGAGGATCTGTGATGCCATTGCCAATTGCTACATAAATCTAGTCACTTCCCATTTCTGGTCCAGTGGTTGGCCACAATGTGACCTAAAACGGGGCTGACCCCTTTGAAATCAACATCTCCCATGGAAATGAAACAACAGACACACTTGTTTTGATGTATGGCTGGGTGACATATTATAAATATTACATCACATAACCACAGAGGATGCCAATCAATAAGAAATTTTTTTAGACAGCACTAAATGAACCATGGGTTCTTGCTTCTGAATACACTCCTTTAAGGCTCCTACTATTGCTTAAATGATTAATAGAAGACATATTGTCAGAAAATGTACTTAAAGTGAAAAACAGTAAACTGTAGAAATATCATTCATTTTTAAGCAATTTTCTAGTGAAAAATGTCACATAAATTTACATAGAGGCTCCACTATTAGACTGTGGGTAACAGTGAGAAAGAAGGTAGACCTCACGCTTTGTGGATGAAGGGCTGGGAAATATTTTACCAAAAGAAGAAAAAAAAAAAAACCAAAGCTGCATTGCTTTGTATAAATGCAAATGCCACAGGAACTCTGAATTCAAAAGTCGTATTGTGAAATCCTAAAATTTCTCAGGGGCAAATGGAGCACAAACTCCAGAATAAATAAATGAGAGCGGCTCATAGGCCACAAGAATGGAACTGCATCATGCATCCATTTCTCTCTTCCTCATCCAAGGGCGAGTGCTTATCAAATCAACAATGAAAAATAAAAATAAATAAACAAACGAATAAAAAACTTAAATGGGCTGGAGAATCGACCTACCATTCCACTCTGCAATCAGATGCTGTGCAGTGAATGTGCAACCCCATGGACTCACATTTAACATTCCCTCTGCTGTTCTTAGTTACTGCTTCTCTCAGAGTGGAAGCATCTTGCCATTGTTATGGGTGATGTATGGATTTTCTAAGGTAACTTTTGACCAGATGTGATTTTGGCTGCATGTAAGCTCTAAGATCCAGCCCCTCATGGCAACTTTAGCATATGTGTATTAACAGCAGCCTTTCCAGTGCCATCCCTCAAGTACTTCTAGGGAAACAGATCAGGGATGGAGAGGACAGGTGTGGAAGGTACCCAGGCTAGCCCAGGAGATAGAGTATTCACATAGAATCAAGCCCTCTCCAAAGAATCATGACCCATAATCAGGACTTGGGTTGAGTCCGAATGACAGTCTCTTGCTTGTTAACTGCCTTTGTCACTCCCAAATGGATCTGATCCCAAGTGGCAGTGGGCATCTAAGGTACCCAAAGGTCCCTGCCTCTACCTATTAATATTTAGCTCCTAAGCAGAAAAGGTAATTTCAAACTGTCTCCCGCAGTTACAAAGGCCCTTTTCCATGTTCACCACTACATTGGGTGTTGATGAGGATTTAGAAGAAAGGAAGACCAGCCCGTACCCACGTACCCACTGGAAGCTCTTCTCTACATGTTCAAGTACATATAATAGTGAGGGAAATACATGAGGGAATCTTGGAAATGATGTGAGATGGTAAAGGACAATGGCAGCCGCTTGAGAGCAGAGTGTCTCAGAATGCTAGAACCAATTAAACATCAGAATTCCCAGTGGAGGGTTCTATTGGATTTGCCACCAAATGAATGAGAATGCCTTAGATGACTCAAAGGCCATTAAGGAACCACAGATCAAAATGGTCCTCGGCATTTTAAAGGTCCCCACTGCCAAAAATGGTCCTCACGTCAGATCTTCTGATCTGATCTCTTACACTACACTATGGGTCTTCACATTTTGCTTATATGACCAGTTACAATAACAAAATAATAGTATTAGCTTTTTTATTTTTATTTTTTTCATTTTACAACCTTATATGCCTCTGTTTGAGATCACACCAAATAGCATGGAACTGAAAACTTCCCTCGTACTGCGTCTCTCATTCTGGGAAAAATAAATAAAAAACGCTTGCCTGCAGTTAGAGTTACACATAATTTTTGATTCCATGAATGAATGAATGAATGAATGAATGAATGAATGAATGAACATGTATGGATATGGACACATAGACTCATATCAGACTCATATAAGTGAGCACATACATACACACATACATATTTAAATTTTGTTAGGTTATTTTATAGAATTAGTAAAATCTGGGGAAAAAAAATTAGAAAACAAATGATAATTTACCAGTGTTTGGTTTACTAAAAATACTTACCTGGGAAAATTTGGTGGGCTCTCTTGACCATCCAAGATACATCTTTAAGAAGATTGAATAAGTTTTAAGTGACCCCTTTACACCTGAAATCAGGCTACTAAATACTTCAAAATTGCTAAGAGGGTTCCAGAAGTGAATTAAGTTCTACGTGATTAAACAACTTAAAGTGATGATTCAGAAATGTGTTAAGTATTTACCTTCTGTACATTAACCATACTTGTAGCAGAACTCATGTTCAGACATATAGTATCACATTCCAAATGAAAATCTTCATGATGGAGAAAATTTTACAACATTTTTTTTAAAAACGTAGGGTTAGAGTTTTATTCTAAGATAATTTAAGGATAGACTAAGACCTCTCCAAAATTAATCATGAAACCTAGAAAATGAAGTTAACAGTACAAAATTCTTTGTATAAAGAAATATAACTGAATTTCTGCTGCAGCCTAACCTACTTATATGTGTATGTATTTTTAAAAATCTTCAATGTTCAATAGACTTAGTATTTCTTACAGCATTCCCTTTATTAAAAATGAATGACCCCACTACATTCCTCCATGCATGGCCACAGATTGTTATATAAGTTCCAAAAGAACAAGTTCCTCTCAAATCTTTATGCTTTTTCCCCAGCCTTTCCAAATCTATCTCCCCTACCCACCTTCCTCTCACATTAATTCAAGTGGTATATTACTGAGAGCCTATTTCATGATGGAGAGAGAAGCTACATATACAAAAGATCATTAAAATATTTATAAAGCAATAATCAAGAATGAGAGCACATTGAGTTTAAAATGAGGAGGAAAGAAAATGAATTTAGTAAAACAGACAAGATTAAGATAATTTTCCCAAGAGAGGTGATTTGGATCAGGGGTTTCAAAGCAGTTGGTTTATGAAAACAGAGAATAAAGAGAAGCATTCTTACTTGGAGCCCAGCAAAGTGAACTCTGGTGCCTAGTTTTAGAGAGGAGCAATATGGGCCTGTAGGACTTCCTTTTGGAATTGTACATGAGCTCCCTAAGTTTTGGAGAGGTTTCTCTCCAAAAAGTGATCACAGAAAGACCTTACAATGTAGAGGAGAGGTTAGCACATTACAGGCCCTGGGTCAAATCTGGCCTATTGCTTTTTTTTTTAAACAAATAAAGTTTTATTGAAACAGAGTCGAGCTCATTTATTTACAAATTATTTATGGCTACCTCTCCCTGAAACAGCAGAGCTGAATAATTGCAAAAGAATCCACATGACTTACAAAACCTAAAATACTTAGTATTTGGCCCTTTATTAAAAAAAAAAAAAGTTTGTCAACCCCTGACCTAGACCACCCAACAGCTTGCATCCTTCTTGGCTCCTGTGACCTCAACAAAGGGAGACAATGGCTTTAGGTTTCCAAAAGGTAGACATTAAACACTGTCATAGGAAGTTCACTGATATTTACCAAACATCAGCTACCTACCTCACAGTATGATGTCACCCACCAAAGGCACTATTTTCCCTGTCTCCCACCATAAGTCACTTACCTGTATCGCTTGTAGTCTTCCTCATCCTTTTCCAAGCTGACCAGCTCATTGGGACATGCAACATTACCCAGCAGGCTGAGGTACTCCAGAGCTGGCGTCACTTCTGCCAGGTGATCGAGCAGACGCTCCAAGTCAGTGATGTGACAAAGGTTAAGGATCTTAGTCCAGGAAGACAAAGGACTTAGCGAGGAGCACTGGGCATAAGTGGCAGGCACAGCCTAGCAACTGACATTTTGATTCTGCTCCTATGTGATGACTGAGCTGTGGGTGGAGGGCAATGCTAAGTGTTCACTCCCACTATTGGAAACATGGCCCAAACTTTCTCTGCATAAGTCACACTAAGTCCAGGTCACTTGAGGAAGAATACATGAACTTAAGTTTCATCACGCTTTTCTTTTCATTGTAGCTTTCTTTTCTTCTTTAAATATTTTGGTTTTTGTAGTCATAGCTGGACACAATACCTTTATTTTTAAAATTTATTTATTTATTTTATGTGGTGCTAAGGATCAAACCCAGTGCCTCACACATGCTAGGCGAGCTCTCTACCACTGATCTACAACCCTAGCCCCTGTAGTTTTCTTTAAATGATTTAAAATATATATTTCACTTAGCAAAATATTCTGCAATATGCAAATCTATAAAATTTATATTCTCTTTTAGTAGAAACAATTTATCATTGAAACAAATGGGAACGGCATGGATGCAAAGAGGGACTGGCCCCTCTTCTGATCTGAGAGTCTGTAGGGAAGCTAAGCTTTGCTCAGTGACCTTGTTGATGGCAATAAGGTATTGGGTTGGGGTAAAAAGGAACAAAGGAGGAAAAGACAAGAGTAAGTTAGGATAGGTTTCATCCAACCAAGCAGGTCAAAATACATTTCCTGAGACTCTGCTCTAATTTGATATTCAATGAAGATTATACAAGAGAAAAGACAGAGGAGGTGCATGGTGGTGAGATTATTCCATGATCCTTCCCCAAGTGGGATTCACTGTCCAATCAAGACAAATACTGAGATCTTCCAAACCAAATGTGCAAGAGTCGTAGATGCATGAAATCACAGCTATTGGAAAGGACTTAACCTAGTCCAGATATCAGCTCCTGGCTTTAGCCACAAACTTATGAGCTGAACCCTGGGCAAGGGGATGACTAGAGGGACCATGAGTGGAGGCCATGATTAGCAGGAGCATAAGATGAGACAAAAATCAGTAGACAGAATGGTTCTTGCGAGAGAATGGCAGCAGAGCACACAGGGAATACCACATAAAAGCAGAGGCCACACATAAGAGTCAAAGCCCCAGAGTATAATTTCAAAACATAAGGTCCACTTGACTCTAGGAGAAGAAGGTAGCGCCCAGAAAGGCTGCTTCATCCCTGTCAGTATATTATGGAATCCTGGGATATTAACCAGATTTTCTTATACTTTGCTTCAACTTGTCAGAGAAGAATGAACTCCCCATTTAAGTCATGTCTGATTCCATCCCTAACACACTTGCCAAAGGGTCACTACATGACAGCACATTCCATTTCTGATAAACATAATAGTTTTTCTTTCCTCTGGGCTGGAATCTTCCTCTTATTTCTACCCATGGACCCAATTTTACTGCTTGGGGTCACAGAGAATAAGGCCTTCTTCTCTTCCATACCATGAGTTTTCAGATATTTGAAAGGTATGTGTCTTCCTTTTCTCCAAGGTAAGTTTCTCCAAGCATTTTTCATACAACGTGCTCTTCCCCCATCCCAGGTAAGAACCAATGATGTACTCTGGGCTGGAGCAAGAGGGAGACCAATGAGCAAAGCACCAGACAAGGAGGAAAAAGAAGAGCAACTGAAAGATGCAATCAGGCTCACTCACCACTGACTTCCATGCGACAATATCATCCCTATTTCCTAAATCAAAAAGAAAAAAAAATGGACACGGAGTTTTTAATCTTTCAAATATTTCACAATTAACATCCAGGGATGACTACAAATAAAGACGATGAGAAAGGAAGTTCATATCAGAAATATAGAGACAAGCTCCCACCAAGGAGATAATGTTAGAAGTACAGGGTGCAGACAGCCAGGAATTAAACATCAACATATTTCATCACTGAATACTAAACACAGGAACCACTCTTAAAAAATTCATGTTCAAGGCTGGGGATGTGGCTCAAGCGGTAGCGTGCTCCCCTGGCATGCCTGCAGCCCGGGTTCGATCCTCAGCACCACATACAAACAAAGATGTTGTGTCTGCCTAAAACTAGAAAATAAATATTAAAAAATTTAAAAAAAATTCATGTTCAATTGCCATACTACTTTAAAATTTTCAGTACTGGGGATTGAACCCAAGGTTACTCTACTAGTAGCTACATCCCCAGATCTCTCTTTTTTTTTCATTTACTATTTTATTTTGTTATTTTCATTTGCCATATCTTTTGGTACTGAGGATCAAACCTAGGGATACTTTGCCACTAAGCCACTAAGCTACATCCCCAGTCTTTCTTATTTTTATTTTGAGGCAGGGTCTCACTTAGTTGCTGAGGCTGCTCTTGAACTTTCAATTCTCCTACCACAGTCTCCCCAGTACCTAAAATTACAGGCATGAGCCACCATGCCCAATCAATCACTATACTCTTTAAGAAAAATCATTTTTAAAATATAAGTGGTTAAAATGGCAGTGAACAATTCCAGGGAAAATTCAACTTTTATAGTAGATTCCATCTTTGTATGTGTCACAGTCATTGTTAGAAAAGGAAAAGGGTCCTGCCACCACTCCATCAGCACTGTCCTTATACCCAGGCAGGGACACTTTAGGGGACCCTGTGCTTTGGAGTGCCTTCCTCAAAATTCTCTAAGTCCCTATCCAGTACCTAAGACTGGTCGGGAGCCAACAGTGTCACCCAGATGAAGTACTCTGTGCCTGGACCTGGACCTGCAGAGGCCCAAGGCCCAGTACTTCATGGGTTGCTCCAACTTCTACCCCACACATGGAACCCATGAGATGCTACAAGGAACACTGTAGCTCATGCCTGTCAAGTTGTCATAAAACTTCAAGGCCAAGACCACTTTCCAGGAAGGATACCAAACAAACTCATCACTCCTCTGGCCAACACAGTATTCATTTTGTGGGATTGCAAGAGGTTTGGCTGTCAACATGGTACTGACATAATGATTCAAACTATTTATGTGCATGAAGAACTTAGATGACCTAAGAAAAGCCCTCTCTACTATATATAGAAAAGTCACACCCAAACCTTTTAAGTTAGAGCAAACCTAAAAGCTTAGTTCTTCTTCATCTACTGCATGAAGGTTGGAGTAAATATAATTCAAAACTGGTAAGATTTTTAAGTTGAGAAAACACTGGGCAAGGGGGTTGGACTGCAATCCCAGTCTCTTCTCAACAGTTTGTGATGACCAAGCAGAAGCTTAGCATGCCACCAACCAAGGAAGTAGACCTACTTTAATTGGAGTCTTCATAGGTAGATTTAATATAGAGCTATTAAGGCATATGTGTGAAGGGCTCCTTGCTTACACAGGGCCCTTTCAAAGCCCTGGGGAAGGCCCTCCTGACACAGTCACATGGCCGTGTACTATTTTTTTAAAGTTTGCAAAACTGGTTATTTGAATGCAAATCAGTTAAAATTATTATCTTTCTCCATCACATTTCCCCTTGAATTGGGTAACAAAAGGAATGGCTGTGGGAATCCTGGGATCTGGCTAAGGAGAACTCTCTAGGAGTCACGTTTACTTAGTAGAATGTATTTGCGTAGCCTTCAGTCACGTCTGTGTCTGATTAAATTATTACAACAGTTTCAGTAGGAATGACTTCCAGTAATAGTTCCACCTCTCACCAGGCTGACACCAACATGCAGGGACAGGATAAAACTGAAGATGCAACGATTAACAAATTCATCAATTCAAACATTGAAGAAGAAGATATTGAGCATGTGCCTACATGCAAAGGCACATGCACACCAACATCCCTCACCAAAATGTTCTGAAATCTTAAAAGCTCAAACATGAAAGAAATGGGTAAGAGTTTCTCCAAAATCAAATCATCTCAAAAGTTATACTGACGGTACATTGGTGAAACTACCTATAATGAATAGTAGTGAGTCAGATTTCCATCACTATAATGAAATACCTGAGATAAACAACTAATAAAGGGAAAAAAAAGGTATATTTTGTCTCACAGTGCTAAAAAGTTTCAGTGCAAGATCTGGTAGACCCATTGTTTTGGGCCTTTAGTGTGCATACCAGATGGTAATGGTGGGGAATATGTAATAGAGCAAATGGCTCACCTCATGAGCCAGGAAGAAAGAGAAATAAAGGACGAAGCCCTGGTCCCATGATCCCCTTTGAGAGCATGCTCCCAGTGACCTAAGGACTTCCCATTAGGTTCCACTTCCTAACAGTTTCACCACCTCCCAACAGGGCCACCCTGGGCACCAAGCCATTAACACACAGACCTTTGTGCAAAACTTATCCAACCCACAGCAGCAGTGAAATAGAACATTTCTCAACTATAAAAATAAAAATCAAAACTTCAATCATTCATGCTCTAAGAAGGAATTATCTTTTTTTTTTCTACAGAAAACATCACAAAATTTCATGCCTTATAATGAAGCTAGAAGGGAATTTGCAGGGGGAAAAAAATAGGGAAAAACTTCCCATATAGGCATATTTCATTTAAAAGGATTGCTTCTTTTCTAGTGTTTTGACATTGGTGGGATTTATTCACTTAAAGTTTTTAAAGTTTTCTTTCATGTATTTTTGTTTCAGATAAACATTCTTTTCATACATTTATAACCATGTAACCTTCATCTTAGGAAGGACTCTTCAAGTTAGTCAAGTTTCACACCCCACAAAACCTGAACCTGTCTTTACACGAACACCAAGAAGAGAGATCCTCTGAACGCCTGGTCATGGGAATTCTTTGGGAAAAGGGTCTATAGGCTTCAAGAAGCTTCAGCCATCCTATGCCAGTGAATCCAGAGGATTTCCCAGAGTCTGCCACATTTAGGACACTTTGTGTGACAGAAATGCCATCATTTGACAACCTACAAAGTGATAAAGGGGGCTGATCCGGGCGGTCTCCCCCCAAACCCACACCAGCCAGGAAGCCCCAGCGCCTTCACCCCGCAAGCGCTGGGGCTGCTCTTC